TTTACCTACTAAACCATGGCGACACGCAAAAATAATTACAAAAAAATACAATGAATATTAAATCTATGAATAAATAAAAATAATAAATGGTGGCTTAAAAATAAGATTCTCTTTAAGCAAGCTAACTCCCATTGGCAAGGCTGTAAGTGTTTCTAAACTTCAATTCCATGTCATTTATATGCTTTTTAAAGCAACAATTTTGTTTATTATTATTATACACTTATTAACTTATCCAATATATTATATTTTCGATAAAACACTTTATTTAAAAAAATAGACTTTCATTTTATAATCTAAATGAACTGTGCTTTATAATCTAATTGACTTTAAATGTTTATGTAGAATGCGAGTTTCACAGTGTGCTAAATTTTATGAACACATTTTAAATTCGTATCTATACTCAAACTTTAACTTATAAGAAAATCTATCTTAAGGCAGAAACACAAATTTTTAATTTGAAATAAGGTAATTATTTATGCACTTTATACAGGGAAACCTTAAANTATACATATATATATATATATATATATATACACAAATACAAAGTAAGAGTTTGTAGCTTGTCTTTATATATTTACTTATTTACTAAGAAAAACAGAAAATGAAGCTTGTTCATTTACGTAAAAACTAGAGTGAAAAATATAATAAAATTAAATGAATAATAGAATGAGATGAATATTTGAAAAGAATAGACAATTTAAATATAGAGAAAGTTTTAATTATTGAATGGCGTAGAGTAGAAAGTAATAGAGATGTGAAAAAAGTTGATAATAAGGCAAGAAATGCATAGCATTTAAAAAGCAGTGATAAATAAAACAAAAAAATGTTTAGTCACCTCAAAAATAATTAAAATGAGATAGAGTTCAGTTACAAAAAAATTAGTTTGAAAATTTTAATTTTTGAGAACGCTTCACATACTAAGCAAATTTGGTTTTTCTTAACTTTGTAACTTGCTTTCAATTATTTATTTTTTTCATTAGGGTACGAAGATAAAGGAAACAGTTTATTTATTAAAAATTTTACTTGAAAACTGAAAATGAAGAATATAATTGATAACGGAATAAAATAATAAAAAGATGCAATCTTGCTAAATTAGGACCGTTTATATCAGAATATTCTTAAGGATAGGGTGTACTTTAGGGTCTATTTCTGCACTTGATTTGTACTTTATTCAAGCTAGTCTACGTAGCACAAACTATAACTAATCCTGATAGATATTTAAAATAGAATTTTAAAAATTTAAAATGATTTCAGAGAAAGTTTGAACTCAAACAACACAAAGGAACAAAAAAGTTTATTCCTTTTAAAAATAAATGAATTAAGAAAGGACTACAAAATCTAAAAAAGCATTCAAATATTTCTTCTTTCGAAATCTTTATTTACAAATTCTTAAATCAAAAAAGTACATTCGATGTATAGTAAAAGAATTTCCTGTAGAAAATAGGTTAATCTCTAAAATCCGAAATCAAACTAGCTTAGGGAACGCATCATAAAACGTAAACTATTTTCCAACAAAATATAAATATATTTATTTTGACTTAAATAATATCCTTTCTATTTCAACAAGATATTTTATTTCAAAAACTAGAAAAATGTCCTTTTTCAACGTACGGCACTTACTATTATGTCTTCAAAATATTAAAATTTCAGGTTAATATGCTCCTCCATGTCCTATAAAGTATTTCCTTCGTGAAATGCTAAAAGCATACTGATTCCTCAGAATTTAAATGTGGATCAATTTTAAACTCAAACAACACAAAGTTAAAAAAAAATAATAGCCATTCCTTCGAAAAAATTGAAGTAAAAAAAGAAGACGGATTTTAAAAAAAGCATTAAAATAGTTCCTTTCTAGAATGAATTCTTTATTTACAAAAATTACAACAAAATAATACATTCAATCCATTGTAAAAGAACTTCCTAGTAAAAAAAATATGATACACTTTGAAATCTGATATCAAACTAGTTCGAAAAAAAATCACATCATAAAACTTAAACTATTTTCTAACGAAATATGAATACATTTATTTCGACTTAAATATCATCCTTCCTATTTCAACAAGATATTTTATTTCAAAAAATAGAAAACAAATGTCCTTTTTCGCCGTACGGCACTTACTGTTATGCATTCAAAACGTTATATTAAAGTTTCAAGTAAATATGTCCATACATGTCCTATAAAGCATTTCTGTCACGAAACGCTAAAAGCATTCTGATTCCTCAGAATTTAAATTCGGATCAGTATCACTTTGAAAACCCTAACGTCGTTTACGACGTTCTTTTGAGATATTTTAGTAGTCGGTTGACATTTTTTGTGCCTTCGCATCACTCTGAATGACGAAAAAGATATCTGAGATTTATCTGAAACCAAATTTGTTTGCCTCCATATTTGACTCGATGTATTTTTATTGTAGTTTCGAATTCATTTTAGAATGCAACTTGAAATTATTATTTTAAGGAGATGAAAATTTACGACTATTTAACTTCAGAAAACATGATCTTTAAAGTCATAGAGTATATTTTAAATCAAATACAATTTGGTTATAGTTTTTATTGTTGAAAAATAAAAAACAATGTCGGTTCACGAATCAACATTTTATTATCACGATTTTATCTTTTGTGTTTGCGAAAGGCAGTCAAATAATTTTAAAAATGTAATGTAGCATAACAAAATGCGTAATGTAGAAAAAAACGCTTTATAATAAATTATTAATAAATCGGAGTTACATAACACAATTTTCATTGCTTGATATAATAGAATAGAATAGAATAGAATAGAATAGAATAGAATAGAATAGGATGTGATGTGATGTGATGCTATGCGATTGAAATACATATAATATATGCATGTACGGGAGAGTCGGGTAGCCCAGCCCACTTAAGGAGTATTGATTATATTTCTGTATAATATTGAGTAATAATCAATATTTTTGTATGTTTCTATTGTTTTATCATCTAATTAAATAATGCAAAAAGAATAAACCAAAAAAAAGAATAGTTTAACTTAAAAAAATAGAAATTTAAAAAAAACATATTTTTCAGCTCTTTTCGAAATGTGTCGGGTAGCCCCACCCAGTTACAAAAATTATGTTTTTTGACTGTTTTTTCGGGTGTAAATGAAAATGGTCAATGTATTGACAATAGATAAACCTCATTTATCATTTTTATCTCAAAATTCAACCGATTTTTCTTAATTTCATTACTACTGTATTCGACACATTTTCAAAACTATTTTTTACCAAGTTACCAGCTGCATAAATACTTGAAGCTTTGAAAATAATCTTTTTTTCATATAACAATTAATGCCCGATGGCCCATTGACTTGAAAGAATATTCTATACATATGAAATTGACAGTGGACGGGGGTAACCGCTGGGCGGGGGTACCCGACACTCCCCTAAGTAAAAAAAAAACAATAAAGTTTAATAATTTTATCTGGTATCCAAAAAAGTTCTAAAAAAATTTTCAGTACGACATAGAGACGCAGTAACTTCAATTAAAAACATTTTATATAACAAAAATCACCTTCAGCTTTAATTACACGTTTCAAATGAGACAAATGTATATTTATTGATAGGTATATTTATTGATAGATGTATTTACAAAAATGCATGGTAGTTCACATTAGACTCAATCCCCGAACCCGAAAATCATAAACTGGTTCTATGAATTGCGTAACATCATTAGAACTTTTGCTTACATGAATGTTTTTCATGGCAATAAACAGAAGATATTCACTTGGAGCGATGTTTGGAGAGTAAAGTGCATTGGCAGAATTCTCCCAATCAAGTACGTTTATCACTTTTTTGGTCACTTTATCTGTCCCTCCATCTCTATTGACTAGTGCTGAATACTTCTAGCATAATCCAGTCACTTTTTAGGAATTGGAAAAGCACAGTAAAGGAGGTGGTCTACTAAATTTATAGAAGTACTTTTTGATACTTGATATTTAAGCATAATGAACTGCACGTTATGATAAATATTTAAAAATTTTCATAGTTTTTTCTTATATTTTTTATTTTATCGTTTAGAGCAGTCTTTCTCAAAGTGGGCGATAACGCCCCCTTGGGGGCGTTTGAAACCTAGAGGGGGGCGTTAAGGGGCCCAGAAAAAAGGGGGGGCATTGATGTGGGTTAGGGGGCGATGTATAATTTGTGATTTCATTTACTTTATATAGTATTTTAAATTTCACTAAAATTAAAACCCACATACTACACAATAACGAATAATTAGTTTATATTTCTACCCTGTATGATGTTATAAAAACTTAAAATACTTAACATAGATTTCGTAGGATAGCCCGCACACCGTACGCAATCAAGTTGTAACAAATTTCTGCGGATAGATAAAGGAACATGATCGATGATAGTTGAAAAATTAGAGCAATTTTACCTTAATTACATTGCACCAGAAATTATTTTAAACATTAGGAAAAAAACTACCATGCAGAGTTTTAAAATATTATACATACGTAAACTAACATAAATTGAAGTTTTATTTACTTTCTTTCTTGTTTTTAACATAAGGGCATTTTACAGCATTTTCCTAGCATTTTATAAGAAATTACTGATGTAAGAATCATCATTTTTAAATAAAATGGAAATACGTATATAATTATTGTTCAAAAAGTTGTGTTGGAAATTTTTTTTTACAATTATCCCATTACCGTCCAGTGTCAAATAGTATAGTAAGCCTAAACAGTTCACTTATTGTAAACATCTTTTACTATTTCTATATGTTATAAATATTCAATATTACAAATAATAAAAACGCTGGCTTAGGCGGTGGTTTTTATTAGAACCAGTTCTAAATTATAAACTAAAATTCTATGAAAAATTACCCATATTTATCTATAATAAAAAATGATATTAATTTATTTTCCGTAGTTAAATAAGTTATTATTGTTAGTAGTATTATTTACTAGTCGAAATATAAAATTTTAATTCTCTTATGATGAGAATCTCATCTTATATTATTATGATGATATATTATATCTTATTATGATGAGAATCTTATCTCATATCTTATTTTGTGATGAAAAAGAAATTCCGTTGAAGAATATTATATCAGCTGCTACAGATGGTGCTCCAGCTATGACGGGGTGTCAAAAAGTATCGTACTTAAAAAAGAAAATTCCTGATGTGCTTGCTGTACATTGCGTTATACATCGACAGCATTTAGTTGCTAGAAATTTAAGTGAACGACTATTTCAATCGTTGCAACATGTCATCAGAGCAGTCAATAAAATCCGAAACAACTCTTTAAATGACAGATTATTTAATCAGCTTTGTGTTGATAATGATGAAGATTTCAACAGATTGATCTTTCACACAGAAGTGCGTTGGCTATCAAAAGAAAATTGTCTGACTCGTTTTTACAATCTGTTTGACTCTGTCATAGAGTTCTTGGAAAACAAAGACACAGAATTGCGCGAAAACCTCATCACATCAAAGAATGATATCGCATACCTGACAGACCTTTATACATTGCTTAATGATATGAATCTCCAACTTCAAGGCGATGACTTGAACTTAATAAAAACAAAAAATGTCGTCGCTGCTTTCGTAGCCAAGCTGCTCTTACACAAAAAGAATATCGGCAGACGTGAGTTCCATAATTTTCCCAATTTATCAGTATCCTGCAACAACGACGACTTGCTCGTCTACTGCCCACATTTGTAAAATCTCCACAGTGATTTCATTGAAAGATTCCAGGACATTTTGAAATTGGAAATACCAGACTGGGTGTTAGATCCTTTTTCAAATGTCAACATAGCAATATCACCCCAGTTGGAAGAAGAACTTATAGAACTGTCAACGAACGAGGAAATAAAAATCAAATGCAAAAATGGCTACCAACAAATTTGGCTACAAAAGTCAATTCCGCAGTTGTACCCTGGATTGTGGTCTATCGTTGAAAGATTTTTGATAGCATTCCCATCGTCATATTTGTGTAAACGTGGATTCAGCGCTGTGACAACGCTGCTTACTAAAAAGAGAAATCATTTGCAAGTTACCAAACGCTGCGACTTGCGACTGTTTTTGAGTAAAATCGAACCTGATATCAACAAACTTATTAAATATCATCAAATTCATCCATCTCATTAGATTTGTATAAAAACGAAAACTGATTACATATTTATATTGTTTCTTTTAATTTGATTAAAATATATTATTAATATTATAAAGTTGGATTTTATTTGCTCTCACTGGTAAAAATTTCTAGTTTAGAATGTAAGTTTAAACATCAGAACCGACTAATATATAACTAAATTAATCAAAGTAATGAAATTGTGGTTTTTAAGTTTTAGGGGTGTATAAAAAATGGGGGCGCTGAAAAATAATTGATTTTCAAAGGGGGCGGTAAAAGAAATAAGTTTGATAATCACTGGTTTAGAGTGACATGTGATATTCACTTGGAATCATGTTTACGGTTTGAAGATCGTGAGTTGAAACCATCCAACCAAGTATATCATTCCCTTACTTCATGACCTTATATCATTCCTTTTCTGTTTACTAGTGCTGATTACTTCTGACATAATGCAATCTCTCTTTAAGAACTCACAAAGCAAAATAAGGGAGACGCTCTGGGAAATTTCTAGAAGTAAAATACTTTTCGATACTTGATATTAAAGCATTGTGTACTGCACATTATGATAAATATTTCATGGGTAGGTAGTTATTTTACGTCGAATTAAAGCTGCACAACGGGTGATTTGTGACAGTCTGGAAAACCCGACTATCTGCACGCAAAGTCGAGCAATTTACGGTAGAACAGTTTAACGAGGACCGATACCGTGCACCTTCGGTACCTACGCAGTCTGATCAAAGGGGTCACCCACCAGCTTACTGACCACAGTCAGTGATGCTTGACTTCGGTGTTCTATTGGGAACCGTGTCTTTACGATCAGTCCACCGCAGACTATAAATATTACTTAAAAATTCTCCTAGGCTTTTTTAATTTTTAGTTCCGTGATAACGCATTCTAGCATTTCAAACATCTTTTTAAAATAAAAATCTCTCTATATTTTTTTTATATACCATTTACATTTCTATCCCTAAAGTTTACAAAAATAAACATGATAATAGATACATGAAATGATAATTTATGATAATGCAATAATAGAAATTGTGCTAAGAATGAAGACAAGCTAACTGAGCGATTCGGGAGATAATAGAGGTAGATAAAATAGAAATTTCTTTCATCTAACAGACACTCAATTCTTTTAAAAGTACATCTAAACTCTTTTAATGTCTGATCCAACTTGTTAAACTTTCCTTCAGAAAATTCCGTGTCCTTCGAGAATGTCTACAAAGAATTTAATTTAAAGGAATATTTTTTTTCTTTTTTCCTGAAATTAAATTGGCATCTTGTCCATTATGCTACAGGATTTTTAGGAGTTTATTAATTTCGGTGATTCAAATTTTTAACAAATTCAATTCACCTGCTACTAATCACCTCATGCACCTAATGCTGCTTTTTTTAATATTTATTTACATAATAAGCTGAAATTTGAACATTAAAAATTAAGTATAAATTTCCCTAGTGGTTTCTTGAAGCTCATTCAGCGTATCAAGGGAGTCTTGCTGTACCCACACAGTGAAAATAGATGGTCAAATTACGCGAAACTTTCTTCATTTCTGACGTCACCATTTTCCTAGAATATGCTGAGAGCAAACATTTCATCAAAGTGACGAAATAACTATCATCACTTATTCAAAACACGAATTTTGTCAAAATTAGAGAAATATTTCGTCATTCTATTTTTTTTTCGAATGAAACTCGTAGCACCTAATGTGTCTAACTTTTCTTTAAATCACTTTGCCGTGAGTACCATGTAAGAGGACCATTCAACACAAGACTATCAGATGGAACAGAGATATAAGTTATAACCATGTCTGAAGTGGGATTCGAACCCGAGACCTTTCCGAGACCCTTTATATAATTTTTAAAATTCGTAAAGTAATGTGACTTCTAATTATTAAACCATAAAATATTTTTATTTTAAGAGTGGTGGCAGTTGATGGCGCCTCAGAGGCGACAAAGGAGCTCAAAGGGTTAAGTGATAAATAATAAGCAATTTTCAAATCCCGATAATATCAGGAAAAGCAGATTAGTAAAATAAGATTGTGATAAAAAATATTAAAAATGTTTTTAATTATTACTTTAGTGCCTTAAATATACATAAACTATATCAATCATAACATTTAAGATTTAATAAGATCTTCATTCAATTTTCTTTAATATTTGTATAACGGAAATTTCAGAGTTTGAAGCATATTAATAATGAAGCATATTAATTCTGAAGCATATTAATAATGCCTTTTTTATATCATTTGGAAATTTTATTCTGACAATTAAAGAAATTTTAATGACTTGTATTTTTTGCTTGATATTAAATCAGATTAATTTTTACAATTAAACAAATTTGATCACTAAAATAAGTGCAAAATATGATGATTTAGCATTTTTCTCAATCACTTATTTACTTAAAAAGACTATTAAAATTTTAAATAAAAATTTATTTGTGATTTTGCCATGACTGTAATGATGAATGCAAATATTGAAATAATCAAATGTTTGAAGGTGTTTGTAGCAGTGTTTATTTAACAAAAAAAAAATTAAAAGCGAAATATTTTAACTTTAAGTTATACTTCCATTATTGATATTTTTAATTTATTGACTGATTATTTTTGTTAGTTTAATTTTATTCATTTGCATGTGTTTATATCAAATTGTTTGTTCATTTTCATAAATAATAATTTATTTTTTGAATTTTTTGTGTTTATTTCTAGCAAATAATTTAAAATATTAAATACATTTACCTTTACATGTATACAGTTATTTATATTAATTGCACACCAATAATTACCAACATTTTATTAAAAAATAATTTTAATCATAAAAACAATAAATTACAACTTATTCAAAATAGTGGATACATTTTCAAAAACCTAATCACCTTAGAAACATACTAATATATCTCCAATGTAAAAGACAAAATTTAAATATCAATTTAGAAAAATCACATGAGGAAAACATTATAATTCTTTCATAGACGTAATTTTGAATCTATGACATTAATCTTATCTATTTAACAAATGTATGTTCAAGTTATGCAGTTGCAAAATTTCTGTAACGTAAACTTATTTACTAAAATGTTTATACTTAAAATTGTCAACATGCATCAAAAATACGGTAAAATAATTGAAAAATTTTAATGATCAATTTTAACAAATAAGACTACTATACTAAATTAAAAAACAATGAGAATAAATCTCAAAGGAAGTACAGAAATTGATGTATTGCAAGTATATTCATCAGTGTCTAAACAACCAAGACGCAGAGAAAGGGACTTGCCTAGAGAACCGAAACTATAGTATGTCCATTTGTGTACTTGATTTGAGCTTAATTCGCATTGCTTATCACTATAGTGTATATAGCACAAAGTACACTCTATTCTTTTGGAAGGCAGCTAGATATTAACATTAAAGCATTTTCATGGACGTAATTAAATTTAAAGTGTTGGCTCTTAAAACACTACTATATTCAAAGCCATTAATGTTTTTTCGTTGTAAAAAATATTTAAAATTTAATTGCAACAGTTAAAATCTCAAAATAATGCTTTTTAATGAAGCAATGCTGTGTTAAATAATATAAAAATGAAATTGAAGCTAACATTTAAACAGATATAAAATTTTCGTGTAAAACAAAAACATTAAATTGGAATATTAAATAAAATATAAATAAATAAATAAATTTACATAGGTTTAAAACAGGATTTAATGCTTTAATAAATGAAATAAATAAATAGTAGCAATGTGTGACAAATAAGTTAAATTAAAAACAAATTTTAAAATAATTCAAAGTGTCATTGTTATTAAGAGGGTCCTTTCAAAGAAATATTATTACCAGATTTAATTAATATACTAGGAGTTGGTACTGTTCGAATGCAACCAACTGCAATGTTCTCCAACGTTGTTTGATATTCACCAGAATCACACGTCTTTTTCAAAACAGGAATGTCGTACCGAACTTCTTCGCAGAGAGTATGTCTCCTTCTATGTCTTAAATTCGATCCACCAATATTCTCGTCGGTTCTTACGCAACGGGCTTGAGGTAAAGTTTGAGGAATTCGATGTTGGTCAAAATCAAATTCAACAACAACTTCACATCCGTGGTTGAACGATTGTTGGCTGGAAAACTGGCAGCTTTCCGGGACTTCAAGAACTTCATCAGCAGATGCGTCGGTATTTGAAAATGTTTCATTATTTTCTGGTGGCAACGAGGAAATATGGAACAAATCACCAAAGAAAGTATTTTCTTGAGTACAGACTCTGTTTTGTTGTTGCTGTTGTTGAAGTGGCACAGCAGCATATCTAGATCAGAAAGTGCAGAAAACCGCAAAAAGAATGAGCATTTCCATTGTTTATAACTTAAGTTAAAACTAGAATTGAAATAGTGAAGCGAAAAGATTTGGCTTTTGCCATTATATACTAAACTTGAATATTTTCTTGAAAAAAACCCCACTGATAATAAAATTTTTCCTAAGTGATTTCGTAGAATATTTTATTGGAAAAAATTTAAAAATGATTTTTCCCCCGTTTCATAGAAATCCACGCCTTAAATCCACGCCTAGGGAAAAAATTAAGAAGAAAACCCTAATATATCTGGATTTATT